TTTTACTTTGGTGACAAACCAATATCAAAAGAAACCAAAAGCAATCTTGCAAAAGTAAGTTTATACTAGGAATAGGAAGCTAATATTTAAAAAAATGTTTGACCATTTTCTGATTTTTTTAATTTTAATTTTTTGAATCAATTTAATATACTACTTGAATAATTTACTTACTATTAAAGTATAATCAGTATTAGATCAAATCTATAATGAACTGACAAATTTAAAATTAACATGATTTTTTGGTACCTACCTCGATACAATTAATCAAGTTAGACTAAATATATTTATATGAGGTACTAGAACTCATTAGTTATAACAATCTACTTATTTTTACAAATTTATGAATTGAAAGCATATTATTATAGGAAGGTGTAACCTAACCTTAGTGTATGTAATTGATTTGGATATGTACATTGTACATAAATGATTCGAAAAAAATTTGTCTTGTGATCGTATTTATTTGCAGTTGTTAGGTATTATCGCCATTGAACAAAAATTGAAAACAAAAAATACCACATTGAGAATATGTACAGAGTGATTCACCAAGCATTCCCACCTCTTTTTTTCTTTAATAATGTAGTTAATTAAAATCTAATTTGTATAATTTTAAAATATGCTTACTTAAAGACCATATTTTAAGATTATTGAAAATTTTTCAAATTATCCCAAATACAAACATTTTAAGAACTAAGAAAATTCTCAATCTACTCTTGAATTAGATATTTATCAACATTTTAAATCTAAATTCTAAATAATTTACAGAGAAAAAATGGTTCTCATTTGAAAAACAGAAGTTTATATCTCCACATAATAGTAATTAAGTAGTATAAAAAAATTCAAGAATTTAAAAAATTTTAAAAATTTATATGACTATATATACAAATTCCAAAAATCAGAATTTGAATAAATTCATTATTAAAGAGGGAATGGGGGTTAGCGTGCTTGGTGAACCACACTGCATACTTGATACTTCATTCAAACACAGGACTAAACTGAACATTAAAAAGAACAATATGCCATAACGTCAAAATATGCCAGTGTAGAACTAAAAAAATATGGGTTTCAAATATTTGGGTTATAAAACTTTTTTATGTCACATTTTCGAAAAAGATTTGTGTTTATAATAGTGCACATTTGTCTAATTGTCAATTCGTAGTTGCACGCCTATCCAATTGTAAAGGTGTTTGTCTGCATTAAATGATAATCTAAATAAATAATATCAACATTATTCAGATGATTTCAGATAGAACTTTTGGATATGCTGTGAGTAAAGCAGCTCAGCACATTGCTGCAAAGAATACGGCGCCTGTATATTTCTATGAATTTGGCTACAGTGGTAATTATTCTTTCATAGCTAGTTTAGATCCAAAATCATACTCCCGAGGATCAAGTAAGTAACATATTTTAAATAAATATTTTTGCTAGCGTAACACAGATTTCTTAATTCGTCATAACTAATACACAATTAGACGTAACTCATTGCGATGAAATCCTTTATTTATTAAACATGGAAGGTTTCTCTGTTCACGACAATGAAGATGATACAAAGATGATCAAAACTATGGTTAATATTTGGGCAACCTTTATTAAATTTGGGTAACTATCTGAATTGTATTGTTTAATTAATAATTTCTATGAATTTTTATGAAATCTTATATTGAGTTCCTCATCTCATTCTAGTCTATATTCTATATACGTATCAAAAAATATATGTATAAGTTCCACATCTTCTTCAATATAAATATTTTATAATTTTTTTTATATTCTATATGCGTATCAATGAGTGGTTATAATTTTATTTTTACTTTTATAGAGTACCAGCTATTGGAAATTCAGAAATCTGGTTACCTGTTTCTAAGAATCCAGCAGATCCTTTAAGGTTCACTAAGATTACTCAACAACAAACATTTGAAGCCAGAGAACAATCGAACCATGGGAACTATGCATTTTGGAGTAGTTTACCATTAACCGAATTTTTTGAATTTAATGTGCCAGAAGACATAAAAACTGAATTATAAATATGAAAACATAACATTATGTACATACGAAATAATAGTTTTAAATATATATTATAATATTTACATGAGATATTAAAAGTTACAACCATTTTTTTAAAAATAAATTGTTATTATTACCGTACATTGGACATTTCGGTTTTAAATTCCTAGTGGAGCGATGATAAATGTATTAATTTTACAATGACGTATCTATTTTTGTATTTAATTTGTATCTCTGTACACGATAAGTAAAAAATGTCTGTATTCGAGAATATCAGTTTGTCTCGAAACACTATTACTATAGGAGGGTAGAAGACATTGGAGGACAAACTTCTAATTTTTATAAAATGGTCACGGGTTTGAACATTTTTGCGGGCCGCGGGTTGGGCACGCCTGTTATAGACTGACAGACCGTCTTCACTGTTCACTCAGAATTGTTTTTCGTCTACGATGATTTAATAATATCATTGAATACAAATTTAATACCATCCATTACGGTGAGTCAGTGACCCACTTGTAACCTAAAGTACAGCACAGTCCCCTCCGCTTGCTAGCTTTTTTTTTTTGTACTTTTACTATTAAAAATAGCAGTGCACATTTTGATATTAATATCAGCCTATTTAACCAGCGGAATTTAGATTCATTATAGTTTTACATTTATTATAGTTTTTAACTACGAATAGGCAATAGCAATATAAATCTATAATAAAATATCCTTGAAAATAATATATGATTACTCCATTCAGGTATTTGTCTTAAACAATGATTTGTAGATAAATATCTAAATATCCTGAACTCGAATTTAACACATTAATTACGACGAGTGACCTACTCAATGAAGAGAGTCGAGGTGATAGGTACTGTAGAGCTTAGCGACGGTCATGGTTTTTTTTTTTTTTAATAGTATATATATATATATATGTATGTAACTGTGTAATCACAAATATTATGATGAATTATAATTAGACACTGTGAACTGAAATTAATTAATTAATTAAAATGTTATATAATATACTAAATACGATAGTACCT